GCGAGAGAGAGAGAGAGGGAGAGAGAGCAAGAGAGGGAGAGAGAGAGCGAGAGAGAGCGAGAGAGGGAGAGAGCGCAAGAGAGGGAGAGAGAGAGAGAGAGCGAGAGAGCGAGACAGCGAGAGAGAGAGAGAGAGAGAGAGAGAGAGGGGGTCACATCACAGTGGAGTCAGCTGTAAGGGTGCACACTATTGCTGAAAAACACAATCACTACTTAGCAGTCAGATGTCCGTATGCACAAAGGCACAGGTCCCTAAACAAGACCATATCTGAGGATGAAACTTTGTTTGTAAAAGCATTTTTTTAAACTTGAACTAGCACCTCATGACTACACCATGTTATGTGAAAGAAGCTGCAAAAGACACAGGTGCAAGTGGAATGTACAAAACATGGTGACATTAATTTTAAAGTAAATATAATGGGCGATATATTGCGTCACCAAAAATTATTGAGGTCATGTACATATATTGCGCAATAAGTCAATATATTGATTATTGAGACAGGCCTACCGCCAAGGCACTAAAAGACACAGTTCAGCCAAAAATGAAAATGCTGTCATTATTTACTCACCCTCAAGTTGTTTAAAAAAAAATCCTATTATATGCCCTTGGAAAATACAGCACAAATCATATGTAATCATTCATGCATAAAGCTTGAAGCTATTCATTGCCATTATATCAACGAGCAAGAACAGAACATTTTTTAACATTTCTCCTTTTGTGGTCTAAAGAAGAAAGAAGCTCATGCAGCATTAGAACAACATGAAGGTGAGTAAATAATGACTGAATTTTCATTTTTGGGTGAACTATCCCTTTAACCTTCTCCATCCAACAAAACATTAATCACAGCTGTAGATCTTTTTACAACAGCGATTATGCAACCTGAATTTCTAAAACAATGTTTGGCTGTAATTCTCTACAGAAATTAATGTTCAAAGATCAAAAACAGTCCACGTGAGATCTGACAAACACTTCACCATTATTGCAGCCACTTCCTGGAATACTGATACATAATGACAATTCATGTCCTGGACACTTTTTAATCAAAGCATATAGCTTCGATGTTCCTCAAAAGTTCAGGTCTATGTTAGTGTTGGGTCTGAGGTCTGAGTCCACCAAGTCCTTAACCAACTGAGCCTGAGTGCAAGACATTTACAATATCTCACAGAAGTGAGGACACCCCTCACATTTTTGTAAATATTTTATTATATCTTTATTATTTTTTGTCAATATCGCACACCCCTAGGGTTTACTCACTTTTGTGGCCAGCGGTTTAGACATTAATGGCTGTGTGTTGAGTTATTTTGAGGGGACAGCAAATTTACACTGTTATACAAGCTGTACACTCACTACTTTACATTGTAGCAAAGTGTCATTTCTTCAGTGTTGTCACATGAAAAGATATAATAAAATATTTACAAAAATGTGAGGGGTGTACTCACTTCTGTGAGATACTGCATTTAAAATATATTTTTTAAAAAGTATATTATTCATTACTGTGCTGCAAAGATGAATTTTCATCAGCCATTACTCCAGGCCAAGCACCCGGACTCCAAAATAAAATGTTAATATAATTTTAATACAATATGGATTCAAGATAAATATTAAGGGGTTGAAATGCAACAACTTACAGGTAAAGTAATAAAAACGTAATTTGATGAGCGTACAATGGCGTTTAGTTAAACGAAGATGGTTTACTATTTCAGACAATTGTCTCAACCCACGCGCTATACGCGAGCAACAGAGCCACGAGCTCGAGAAGGAATAGATTGCGCGTGTACTACTCACATGAAGAGAGAGAGAGCGGCTTTGAATATTTGATTTCATAGTTAGATAAGTTATAGATTTAACCCGATTTAAAGTACATCTACGAAGAGCTGCATCTGACAGCTACAACGTGTTCGCGCTAATGTTTCCTGTGGATGACTGTCCTTACATGCAATAGCTGCGGAGAATAGCACGATGCCTGAAGGAAATTAAATGCTGTAAAAGGGTGACACCATTTCATCACAACAGAGCGAAATATGCGCTACCCACCAGAACATACAGTAATAAGAGCGCGCTGCGTCGCAAATAAAGAGAACGCTCCCATTATAATCAACGAAGCTGATTTTTAGCTAGCCTGCCTTATCATTCATTCTGCTCAGCCATCGTGTATCGTCTCACCTTGGTCAGAGTTCATCCGATGAAAAATGAGTGATGAATGGAGAAAGGTTTAAAGCAGTCTGGGTTCAGACCACCCCTACTCTCCTTGACATCACAGTAAAGGTTGCTGCTCCATAGTTGATACACATGTGCTTCCGACGTCACGCTGGGACGTCACCATGTCGCTACCACACGACTCTCATAAAGTAATCATCCTTTCCCAAGCGGGGGAAAAAGCTCTCAAAAAGTGTTTTACATGTTTATATGCAAGTGATTATTGTCATGTTAAAAAAAAATCACTCACGACGTATTTTAAAGGTAAACTTTCACATTCACAAAATGAAATGATTTGACTGCAAACCAAATTTTTCTCACTTTAAAAATTATTTCAAACTTTGAGTGTAAAGTGATTAGCGCCTATAACATTCTAAGCAATAATAT